GGGATGTTGTGGCGCTCTCTAACGGAGGAGCGGAGTATGCAGGACACCACACCACAGACGTCCAGGATGGGCATGCAGCAGCACCAACCGTGATCACTGGCGGTCTGACACTGCATGCAGGGGAAGCAGAAGAGCGCACAGCAACCTTGAGCACAGAAGAGAGGAGGAACATATGAACTTTATTATTACACAACATTAACGTCTCGGGATGTGCTGAATATTGTGTCGTAATCTTGAATTTCCCAAAAAGGTCTTATGATATTGATATTTCCCAGAATACAGCAACCGACAAGGTGTCCCTGAACTTGCAGTTCTTCAAATCCATTTAAAGAGGAACCACTTTTACACATAAACAGTTAGTGGTGGGAGGTGATAAAGATGTACTAGATGAGTTTCTACGGGTGTTCCTTTTGAAAGCCGCCAACAACCTTCACCTGAGAGGCAGCAAAGTATTTGTCACAGTTAACCAGCGTGAGGAAGATGTAGGCATTTACCAAGCAGAGAGGGTCTAATAAGAAGACGATATAGTGCGATATTAAATTGCTGGAGAACTACTTTAAGTTACTCAGTCTTACCATTGTCCCACAGAAAGGCAGAAGCTCACATTAATGTATATTTCCAATGTAAATCAATATTTTGTACCGTTAATGAATTAAGAACAACAGAGTTAAGGCTTTCAGTCTCCAACTTTTTTATGTTTCCAAGGTCAAAAGTTAACTTAGAGCTTTTGCTTTTCTTTTCCTAAAGTGCTGAGACTAATAAAAAAATTGGAAACTTTTTGACACAAATGTACAAGCCACTTTAACCAGCATTTCACACACTACTTCCTTAATAGAAGCAGAAGTTGCAGAATCTGTTGACATTGTATTATAATTATAATATCATTATAATTCCTCTTTTAGCTAGGAAAGCAGTGACCTGTAGTCCTTTACTGGATCACTAAGCATAGTCGCACAGCAGTAAAAATGCCAAAATGTTTAGATTTCAAACAGCAATGATAATATATTATCCCAGAAATGTGTCTAAGAACGGTGGAACATTTAAGTTCACATAGTAGCTTGGAAACGACGTATGTGGTAATACATATGACACAATGACACAAAGTGGTGAGCAGCATCATTTCCTGGGTTGACTTACAGGTTCCCATATCGCTGCAGCAATCACACAGGCCGGTGCTCCATGTCCCGGGACCGTGGGCAGTGGTCATCACTGTCATCACCTGGCCCGGCTGCTGGTGTATGGCCATGCTTGGAAGAAGACAACACAGAAATGGTCAAACTAGGACGGGGGGGGCAGGATTACGAGTCAGGCTTTTTCAATGCTTCAGTAAGCAAAGGAGAAGAAGTTGACTGGTTTGAAGTTACGCTGTCATGATAAGATACGATAAGATATTCAGAAAAGGGCAAGTGTGACTGGCACATTTAAAAGTGGTTGTGAATGTCCTGGTATTAATGCAATGTCTGTATCTGTATCTCAGGCAGTGTATCACTTATAACTCTTGTTGGTAGCACTTTGAGGCTTTGAAAAGCACACATTTGGTTGGCGTGGGCAACATGGAAAATATATATATAGAGATATTTATAGAGATTTATCAGAGCTTTTTGCAAACTGTGTGTGTACCATCAGTTTTTACAAGGCATCCTTTTAGTGTGTTTGTTTGATTTCAGTGTTGCAAATGAGCAGGACTGCCTTATGGAAATATGAATTGATTTATATTTTTAAATTATTCCTGCATTCAATGTCATAATATGACTTGTCAGGTGTTTAACTTGGTAGATTAGCCAGTTAGTCAATAATTGACATCTTAGTCTTTAGTCAATAACCTCCTGTATGGTTATTTTATCCATTAGCCATCAACTGTACTTAAGCTTTTATCTTAAAATGCCTTTAAGTATGTTAATAACAGCACACATGTCTTGTTCGACCTGTCCTCACATTACCTCCTGAAATACAGATCAATAACTCAAAACACAATTTAAATGTGACTTTTAAGCACTGGAAACATAGCACACTTGAATTTAGCTGTTCAATTTCATCTCCACCATTCACTGCTAATAGCTGACACTAGGAATGGGACTATATGGGGTCAATATTATGATTATTGTGTATCCTGATAAAAAACACTCAAACCAAGTTCACACACAACAGCCAAATCCACTAACTAATAGCTATCATCATCTGCTGCCAAGTGGTAGCTCGACGTTTTAAATACAATCTGTAAGCACTAAATGAATCCTTACAGCAGTTTAAACTTTCTTATACTTTATTTCATCACAAAACCATCGTGAGCAGCTTCAGATGGATTCATGATAGCTGTTGGCCAGCTACTGTTTCAACACCATTAACTTATTTATGTTTACACTCTTTGTATCATGATGTATGTATCATTTATCATATATGTTTGCTCACAAACTTTACCCAGGCCTCAGGTTTTACATGTATTAAAAGAAACTATGGGTTTTTGTATAATGTAGATTTATATCACCTAGCCAGATAAGCTAACGTTAATTAACATCCATAACGTTCATCTTACCACTTAAATTAGTTAACAAACTTAAACTTAAAACTAAAGGTTTTAGTCCTTAAAAATGTGAGAATATTGTTTGAATCTACTTGGAAAAGCTATAATAAAGCAGTCAGTTAAAACCTAATTTATTAGTTCTTCATTAGAATCTCACTTCACTTACAGTAAAAGTTTTTTACTAAAAGAAATTAAAGAAATTGTTTTTCAGTGAGCTCATCCTGTTGGTTTGTGCTTTGAGATGTGAATGTGGCGTCTCTTTTTATCTGTTTATTTAAACTCACAACAAGCTCAACATCGCTCGGAATATTTCTAATTGTCGATTCATTTAAACTAATTAATACAAATTAAAAAAAACACTTACTTTTATTTTGGTTCCGTGAGCTTTGAATAACTTTCTCCCTGAACTTCTTCTACACGTGTAAAAGATGTGAAGCCCTCTCACACTGGGGATTTACCAGGAAAGAGAAACTCAGACTCCTTTACAGCCACGCAACCACACACACAGACACACACA